AGTAAGACCACCTGGAAGCAGAGCCGAGTGCGCTCTTCTCCAGCCAGAGAAATGGGAACTGCGGGCACTGGCAGCTGGAAAGGGAAGGAGACCCTTCCCCTCCTCTCTAGTAAGCCCAGACAGGGAATGGGCCACCCCACACACGCACAGCAGCAGGCAGGCTGTGCCAGGGCCTGGCAGCATGGAATGCCCGTGCTGTGGGGCTGGAGAGGCACTCACTTCCGAAGGCGGAGGAGGCAGCGTCGGCGTCGGGATCTGGGGGAGGCTGCTCAGCTTTGTGCCATTCCTCACCATCTGGATGTGGTCATTGAACTGATCCTGGCAGAGAGGGAAGAAAATGGGTGCATTTATCTAACCTGAGCAAGTTGGGGGCACTCTAAGCCAGGGGGTGGCAGGCACTGTTTGGCTCCACAGAAGAATGGAAGAGGAGCTGAAGGGAGGAACACGGTGTGTGTGAAGAACTGCTCATGGTGTGTGTGAAGAACTGCTCACGGTGTGTGTGAAGAACTGCTCACGGTGTGTGTGAAGAACTGCTCACGGTGTGTGTGAGGAACTGCTCACTGCTAGGCTGGGAGAGGTCAGCAGGAACTTACTCGGACACTTTGCTTGGTCATTCGTATCCTGTTCAGCCTCATCTCCCACTCCTGCTTTGGCCTCATGGTCTCCAGCGTGGGTGGCGCAGACCTGCAAGCACAGCTGAACTTTCCCACTTGCAACTGTGCTCTCACTGGCAGCAAAGTGAGCAAGCAACCCCCAGAGCCCCGTGGCTTCCCCTCCTCCAGCAGGGTGGGAAGGGCTCACCCCCAGGTGAGGCACCCCACAAGGAAGAGGGACTGATCTGGGGACACACAGGAACACCATAGTCAAACACTGGGCCTGGCAGATGAACAGTGACAGGGGATGAGCACAGCCCCACTTGCTGTGTGACATTATTGAATCACATTGATCCAGTAAGAAAACCACAGGAAATCTGAACTATTCTAGTCCAACCTCCAGCGTAAGCAGAGCAAGAGGAGAAGGGACACAGGGACACCTGAGTGACCCTGCCTGCCACTTGTGACACAACACAGACTCACTTGAGGTAGGTGAGGTGTAGCTCTGCTTCTTTTTCTGCTTCTTCCAGCTTCAACACCAGCAGCTCCTTCCGGCTCTCCAGGGACAGGATCTATGGAGACAGGCTTGGTTTTTGTACTCCCGTTTCTTGCTGCCAGGCCAGGCACTGGGCACTGCTCCCCACTAATGCTCACTGCACCGATACTTGCTCATCATTCCTCTTATCCCACAAAGAGGGACTTGGCCTTGCCCTCAACTGCTCCTGATTTCACAGAACTGCCCATTAACCATCTGGAATCTCAAACCCATCACTTTGCAGGGAAGAAGTCAGCTGCTCACCTCTGCTTTCCAGGCTCGTTCCGTCTCCTCAAGAATATTCCTGTTGATTTCATTGTGCTGATTCTTCAGCTTGTCCAGCTCCATCTCCCACAGCTGCCTGCACACAGAACACAAGGAGTCCCCTTGGGCTCAGGCACCGGAATGGCCGCAAAGGGATCGATCTCAGGAGCTCTGGATGGGGTGGAGCCATGGAAGATCAGCAGCCTGGAGCCTCAGAGTCTGGAGACTGTGACACCAGCCCCAGCTCCCTGGGCTGCGTGAGTCAGAGCTGTTCCAGAGCACACAAACACGCTGGGCAAAACGAGGGGAATTCCCCTCGGCAAAATTCAGTCCAATCCCAGGGAAGATCTGAAGCAGGAATCAACCCAAGCTGCAGGCAGAGCTATGCTGTTCTGATCCTGGAGAAGTGTAAAGCTGGGCATTCCCACCTGTGCTTTGGGAACACCTGGATCTGGAGCATCCCTGCCCAGCTTTAAACACCCGAGCGTGCCAGAGTTTAGTGTAGCTGGACAGCTGTGGGGAACAGACAGGGAAATCAGCCTGCCCCAGTTCTGGGGAGCTGAAATTCCATCAGAAGTAGCAGTTACAAGCTGAGTCAATCCACCAAGCACAAACTCTAATCTTACGGGATCTTCATGTCATAAGTATCCAGGAGTCTGCTTTGTCTGGGATCAAAGAAGATTTAATCCAGAGCCCTGATGCTGAAAGAGGAGATAAAACCTCTAGAGCACGTAACTGGCCAGCACTGCTGGATCATTGTCTCTACTCTGCCCCAGTCAAGAGCACTGGATTCACTCTGAGGCACACTGACAGGAAGGAACAGTGCACTGGGCAGCATTAATCAGGTGAAGGATAAGAGCCTTACTTCTCATCAGACTGTTCTGCAATCAGAGAGGCAATCTTGTTTTCCTTCTCCTCCTGCTCCTTCAGCAACCTGCACAGGAGAAAAGGGACAGTACAGCTGGAATCCCAGCAGGGCCCACATCCAAACATCCCCAGGCCTGACCACACACCACGGGCTGGGGATGGCTCCCTGCAGTGTGGGTGGGAAAACGGCTCCAGCAGCCTCCGGAGCACAAATCCAGCTGTCTCATGACACTGCACAAAGGCTGTGGCACAGAACCAGGCTGGCTGCAGGCAGCTGGGCTGCTCCCCCAGCACGTGCTCTGCCATGGTCCCCTGGGGGAAAAGGGCTGAGCACTTGGAGCCATCACTGGAGGAGTTTTACCCAAAAACATCGCCAAGCCCTCAGAATAAAAACCAGACCTCTATGACGTGACAGAATGGCTCCATAAAAGTGCCAACTCAAATACAGGGCCTATCCTAAATTCATCCATGTACAGGTCTGACCCAAATACTCGCTGCTTCCTAAAAGCTTAAAGCTCTTTGCTTCATCAGGTTTATATCATGGTTAAGCAAGGCCTTCTTCCCCAAAAATAAACACTTTCTTTTCTGTAAAATACCTTCTGCCTTTCTCACAGAGTTTCTCAATTTCAGCTTTGAGATCCTGCTCTTTCTGCAGGAATTCTTTCTTTTCTTTCTCCATCTTTTTCTTAGTCTCTTCTCGCTTGATCGTAACATCCTGAATTGCTTTCAGGATCTCCTGGAGTAAAAGAAGCATCACACAGATACAGAGCAAAATTACCAAGTAATGGTTTTGATTTCAAATCCATTATTTTTTTTTGATTATTTGATTAATAAGATTACACAGCAAACCCTTTCTTTTTAGCAGATACAGTCAAGACATAAATTGGTTATCATAAGGAAGCTCAGGAGGCTGATGTCTGGACTGCAGGTTCTCCTGACTCTTCATAAAAAATTTAAAATTAATTACAGGGCAGGTTAAACAAAAACAGTTGTTCACCAAATACCTGGTGGTTTTTCATCTCCTCTTCCCTCCGCTGCTGGAGCTGCTTAAGCTGGACCTGCAGCTGATTCTCCACCTGCCTCTGCTTGTCCAACACCTCCTGGTAGCGCTCCTTCAGCAAGGCCCGCTCAGACATCATCTTGTCCTGCAGTGGAGAGCAAAATCCCTCTGTAACAAGGACAGCCAAGGACTTCAAGGCTGGTATTTGATGGTCTTGGAGGTCTTCTCTAAACATAATGATTCCATGATTCTATTTTGTCAGGAAAGGAGTGGGAAGAACAGCTCCAGCTCCTTTGTCTGGGAGTGTGAGTGGCAGAGCCCAGACCTGAGTGCAAGCCTCGATACCCACCAAGTTCTTCTCGATGTCCTGGTCTGTGTTCACGTCCGTATCGGCCGCCTTGAAGTCGGTCTGTGAAAGGAAATGATTGAGATCAGACCCTGCAGTGACCAGAGAGGGACTCCAGGCCCTCCCTGGGCACCTGTTCCAGTGCTCTGCCACCCTCCACGGAAAGCAGGTCTCTGTCATGCTGAGATGAAACTTATCATTTTCGTTTATGGCCATTGTTTCTCACCCTGCAGCTGGGCACCCACAAAAAGAATCTGTCACCATCCTCTGACACCCCTTGGAGATATTTATATGCTCTAATGGGATTCCCCTCTCAGTCTTCCTAGACCAACCAGGCCCAGCTCCTGCAGGCTCTCCTGATAAGAGATATGCTCCAAACCTCTCATCATCTTTGCAGCCTCCGCTGGAGCCCTCTTCAGTAGCTCCTTGTCTTTCTTGTACTGAGGAGCCCAGACCTGAACACAGCACTCCAAATGTGGCCTCATTAGGGTCAAATTTTAATTAAAGATTAATTGAAGACTGTTGAAAGCAGAGGACTGGGCACACAGCCGCGGCTGTAAAGCTGCAAGTATGGATGTGTTTTACCCCCCCAGTCTCGACTGATTCAGTTCTTTGTCCTCCAGGTTCTACAAGAGCCTTTCATGGCCCTCGCCCCGCACAGCACAAACCCCGGGGGAGCTGCACCCACCTGCACCGCGATGTTCTGCGACGGCCTGGCCGGGGCCGCCTCCTCGTCGGGCTCCTCGGCCGCCGCTCCGCTCTGCCCCGCGGCCTCGGCGCCGCCGGCCCCGGGCTCCGCATCGCCTCCGGGGCCGGGGGCGGCCGCGGGCTCCGCGTCCCCGCCGGGCCCGGGCTCGCTGGGGCTCTCCGGGGCGGAGAGCGGGCTCCCGCTGCACCGAACGGGGACATCGGTCAGCGCTGAGCCGCGGCTCCATCCCGGCTCCATCCCGGCTCCAACCCCTCTCCATCCCGGCTCCATCCCGGCTCCATCCCCGCTCTAACCCCGCTCCATCCCGGCTCCATCCCGGCTCCATCCCCGCTCCATCCCGGCTCCATCCCCGCTCCAACCCCGCTCCATCCCGGCTCCATCCCGCCTCCATCCCCGCTCCATCCCGGTTCCATCCCCGCTCCATCCCGGCTCCATCCCGGTGCCGCTGCCGCCCCGCCGGGCCCCCCTTACCTGCCGGGCGGCGCGGCGGGGCCGAGCTCGCAGAGGCGCGGCGGGTCAGGGCCGTCGACCTGCGCCTGTTCCAGTGCCATGGGGGCGGCTGAGGGGCTGGGCCGGGCCGGCGGAGCGGCACCGGGGGGCACCGGGCGGCACCGAGCGGCACCGGGGGGCACCGGGGGGCACCGAGCGGCACCGGGCGGAGCGCACGACCCGCGCCCCCGCCGCACCGCCCCTTCCGCCCCGCGCCCCGGCGGATGTGACGCCGCTGTCAGCGGCACCGGGGTTCCGGCGGCGGCGGCGGCTCATGCCCGGTGAGCGCTGCGGGGCGGCAGCGGCGGCCGGCGGGGTCCGGGCGGCGGGATGCGCACCGGGCCGGGGAGCTCCGGCCGCGCTGTCGCCGGCTCCCCGCGGGCCCAGGCGGGGGTGGCGGAGGGGAGCGGGGGTGCTCTGCTCTGCCCTGGGTGGCCTCCGCGGTGTCCCCGGTGCCGGTGCCCGGCGGAGCGGGGAGCGCCGGGGCTGCCCCGGGGCGCTGCGCGGTGCCGCTCCCGGGCTGCACCGAGGGAAGCTTAAAGGCCGACTTTTAGGGAGAGAAAGCTGGAGCTCGGTGTCCGGCAGCAGCAGCGGCGGCTGAGTTGTGTCAGAGGGAAATGGAGAAGGGCCGGGGTGCGAGCTCCGGGCACGGCCGGGGGATCTCGGCAGGTTTTGTCCCCGCTCTGCGCTGCCGTGGCTTTTGGAATGCGGGTTGAGCCGGGGCTCGGTGGTGATTTCTGCCCATGCCAGGGAAAAGCAGGTTCCTCTGGCAGTGGAGCAGGTGAGGAACGAGTTCGGTGGGGCTCCTGCCGAGGAGGAACCGGCTCCCGGCTGCCCACGGAGCACGGCGTTGCCCGTGGTGTTTGTTCCGGGAAACTGTGCATCAAGAGTTTCTTTATCAGCTCCTTACCAGAGGCGAGATGTGGATGTGGCTCCTCCTGCCAGCCCAGCGCGGCGTTTCCTGGCCCGGGGCTTGCCACCCAGCTGGCAGGGCAGGATTAGGATCGATCCCAGCCCAGGCTGGGTGTGCCTCCAGTTCTGAAGCGCTGGGAAGGAGCCGCCTGGGCTGGGGTTTCGGGGAAAGGGGATCTGCTGTGCGGCGGGCTGGTGCCCGCGGGGCTCTGCGGGACCTTCAGGTGACCCTGGCCACCGTGTCCCTCACCAGGAGGGGTTCTCACCGCTCTCCCCCGTGTGTTGCAGCCCGCCTGTCTGATGCCGCACTGGAGGCGGGGAGCGCCGCTATGGAGTGCGGGCATGGAGGCCACGCTCTGCATCCACACGTGCCTTTGGCTGAGCGCTGCCTGGATCCCCCTGGCCTCGCCGGCTGGACCGGCCTGCGGCGGACAGCGTGCTCCGGACACTGAGGGCCGCCACGGGAAGCTGACGTGGGCGGTCAGCTTGGATGCACCCGAGGAGGAGCTGGAGCAGCGGGCAGAGGAGCTGGCCCAGACTGCGGGGCTGGTGAACATGGGCCGTGTCGGGGAGCTCAAGGGCCATTACCTCTTTGCCTACCAGCCCGATGGCCACGCGGCCACTGAACACGAAGCAATAAGGAGGTCGGTGGACACTTTGTTTGCACAGCACGACAGCGTGCGGTGGCACTCGGAACAGAAGCTTCTGAAGCGCTCCAAGCGCAGCCTGCACTTTAACGATCCCAAATATCCCCAGCAGTGGCATCTGGTGAGTGCTTTCCCAGCTCCTGCTGCACTTGCAGGCTCGGGCTGTTTGTGTGGCCACAGGCAAGCTGTCATGCAGGAGGCAGAGCAGCCTCTTTCTGCTCTTTGGTGAGGAGCTCACTCGCTGGGAGCTCACCCTGCCTGCCCTGTGCTCTGTGATAACGGGAGCAAGCAGCTCCTGCAGCTGGTTGTGCGCTGGTGGCACTGGGGCGGGCAGGGGGGTTTGGCTGGAGCACACTGTGCCCTCCACATCATGGCTCAAGCAACTGCTGCTCGCTGTCAGCCTCAACCCATCTCAGCCTGTGACTCCTTCCTGTGCTGGCCCCAGCCCCACACGTCGTATCCAGGGCACCCAGGAGATCCCTCAGCGCTGAGCCTCCCCTCACTGTCCTTTTTGGTGCTTAGAACAACCGCAAGAGCCCCGGGAAGGACATCAACGTCACGGGCGTGTGGGAGCGGAACGTGACGGGGCGCGGGGTGACGGTGGTGGTGGTGGATGACGGCGTGGAGCACACCATCAAGGACATCCAGCCAAACTACGTGAGTGCCTGCGCGGGCTGGAGGCCGGGCAGCGTGACAGGAGTGTGTGAGAGCTCAGAGTCCATCCAGCCTGTGCCATCACCTTGGGCTCAGCCAGGGCGGAAAGTGCCAGCAGCAAACCTTTCCTGAGAGGTTTTGCACCTGGGTTTTGGGGTTACCTGCCTTTGTGCAACCCGTGGGAGGCAGCTGGCATCCCTCTGACCTGCAGCAGTGCCTGGAGCTGCCTTGGTTGGTCCCTTCCCCACAGCAGCAGATAGTGTTGAGCTGCAGCCCTGTGAGGAAGCAGCCTCCAAGTTCCCGTGACTTCCAGCCTGTGTTTCAGCCCATGTTTCATTCTCTTAACTCCTGCTTTTCCCAGACTGAGGAGAGCAGAGCCCGGTGCTGACTGTGGGTCTGTTTCCAGAGCCCAGAAGGCAGCTATGACTTGAACTCCAACGACCCTGACCCCATGCCTCACCCCGACGAGGAGAACGGGAACCACCACGGCACCCGCTGCGCCGGGGAGATCGCGGCCGTGCCAAACAACAGCTTCTGCACGGTGGGAGTCGCCTACGGGAGCCGCATCGCGGGTAGGTGCGGGCTGCCAGGCAGCCCCAGCGAGCCTCACCTCCTCATCCCTGGGGTGGGACACGGCTGCCAGGCAGCCCCAGCGAGCCTCACCTCCTCATCCCTGGGGTGGGACACGGCTCCATGGGCTGCAGCGCCTCTGAGTCAGCGCTGCTGTGCTCGGGCTGGTTGGGCTGTTGCAGGGAGGGCCTGGTGCCTGCCTGAACTCCTCTCCAGAGGAGCCAGTTCCTGGCAGCTTTTCCAGAGTGTTCCTGGCTTCCCTGGGTGCCAAGCTTTGGGCAGAGCAGCTGTGCCGTGCTGGCTGTGCCACGATGTGCCCAGGCTGTGTCTGGAAGCTCTGGGGCAGCAAATCGTGGCCAGCCCCTCTCACTGCCCTGGCCCCTGGTCTCAGCTTTGCCTTGTGGGATGGACAGGGGTGGATTGCAAGGCCAGGGAACGTGTGCTGTGCCCCAGCTGTCTGCAGAGCTCCTGAGCTGCTCCACAGAGGGAGGAGAGGTCTCTGTGCCGTGCAGGACATGTCCCTGGCAGGGCAGGGGACAGCGGTGCTGGGACGTGGTTCTGTCCATACCTGGTCACAGCACAGTCCCTGGGGTGCCAGGGGCGGTCAGGGCTTGCCCAGGGCACAGCAGGCAGAGGCTCCCAGCTGGCAGAAGCAGGGATGAGCTCACCGTGTACCCACAGCACAGGGAGCGGCGGGGTTTGCTCCGGATCCAGCCCAGACCTGGTGCTGCTCCCAAAGCTGGGCTGGCCTTGCAGGGTGAGCCCAGCGGGGCAGCCTCGAGCCAGGAGTTTGTTTGCAGCTCCTGTGAGCTGTGTTAGTCACGTTCCTTGTCCTCTGTCCTGCAGGCATCCGAGTGCTGGACGGGCCCCTCACGGACAGCATGGAGGCCATCGCCTTCAACAAGCACTATCAGATCAATGACATCTACAGCTGCAGGTGAGCCAGCTGCAGCTCTGCTCTGCCTGGGGACAGCTCATGGCTGAGTGCTCACACCAGCTCCCATCCTCCTGCGGCTGCAGTTAGCCTTGAGGCACCAAAATTCTGTTCCTGGAGACGAATCCCAGGCTCTGCACAGCACCTACAGTTGTGAGATCTCCCTCTGTGTGCCGCTGCAGTTCGTCCCCTGGGCTGGCTGTGGTCAGGCAGCCCTGGCTGAGCCGTGTGACGGGGACTGGAATGTGTGAGAAGCCGCTTGTTAAATAAAAATCAAACATTTTGTCCACTGGAATCTGACCCGGGGACACAGCGCAAACACGACAGCGATGTCCCAGCAGCGAGGGGCCATCCTGATGGGTGGGAAAGTGCAGCGCTTTGCAGTCCCAGTCGTGGTGGCTGGTGGCTGCTGGGAGCTGGCTGTGATGGCAGGAAGAGCCGCCTGTGACTCCTGGGGCTGTCACCTCGCGGTGTCTCTCTTTGCAGCTGGGGTCCCGATGACGATGGGAAGACTGTGGATGGCCCCCATCAACTGGGAAAGGTAAAACCCAGCCCCAGCATCCCCAGGGGAGCCCCCAGGGCTTGTGGCTTCTTGCCTGCCCGTTGAGGCGGGGAGGGACGTTGCTGTGACACTCTGCACGTCTGTTTGTGTCCCTCGGTGCCAGGAGAGGTTTCCCTGTCACTGTGCGGTGGGAGGGCAGCGTTCAGGCAGGGCAGGATGAGCTTTCCAAGGAGAGGCTGGTTCCAGCAGGGAAAGGCTCTTTCATAGCCCGTGGCATGGTGCTGACGACTCGTGCAGCCCACAGGATGCTCCCTGCCCGGGAGCTTTCCCTGTGCCCTGTGGTTCTCGAGGCAGGGATGGTGCCTCGGATACTGGGGGTAAATAAGGGGAGTGGGATTGCAGTGGGAGGAAGAGTCAGAGCTGAGGCTGCTCCTTCCCAGGCCATTAAGGTTTTCTCAGAGCTCCTGTGCTGCAGAGGTGCTGCAAAACACCCCAGGGTGTGGGGCTGGGCACTCACAGGGGGCCGTGGCTCTGTGTGGTCTCCCTGATCACACTGCTGGGCTGGCTGCTGTCCCACACCACCGGGGTCAGTCTGCAAGGACCTGGGAAAGCCGCCCTGCCCCGTCCCTGTCCGCAGGCTGCCCTGCAGCACGGGGTGATCGCCGGTCGCCGGGGCTTCGGGAGCATCTTTGTGGTGGCCAGCGGCAACGGGGGCCAGCACAGTGACAACTGCAACTACGATGGATACGCCAACTCCATCTACACTGTCACCATAGGTGAGCCCGGCTCTTCTGTCTCCTCCCTTCCCAGCCTGGAGCAGCGAGGTCATCCCCACAGCGCAGAACCTGCCTGGCTGGGAGCTGGCTGGATGGTGGGAATCTGTGGGAAAATGTCTGGGAACAAGTGTGGCAGTGTCTAGGGTGTGCTGGGCTTCAGCCCCCAAGCCTGCAGTTTGCTTCTGACCTACAGAGCAGGAGGAGGCCAGAGAAATTCCTGCCCGTGTCCAGGCCTCCCTCCCAGGGCTGTGACAGGCACTGCCATGTTCAGGGAATGACCTGGAATGCAGCATTCCCATCACTTGTGTTAGAGAAGAAATGTGTAATCCACGTTCCCCAGAGCAGAAGCTGCATGAGGGGCAGAAGATCTGTGTGATACTGAGCACAGTGAGGGATTATTTATCGTGGCTGCCCTTCCTGTAGATCTTCAGGTGGGGAAAATGCAGGCTTGGCTCTGATTTCACTGCCCAGCTCCCAGGCCCTGGAAGAGCACATCTGGCAGGAGAGGCTCTTAGGGGATGGACACCTTGAAATTCCAGCAGTTGAAGCAGAGCAGGTTTCACACAGTTGGTGCCTTTCCTGTTTTCCCAGGAGCCGTGGATGAGACGGGCTCCATGCCCTTCTATGCCGAGGAATGTGCCTCCATGCTGGCCGTGACCTTCAGCGGCGGGGACAAGATGATGAGGAGCATCGTGAGTACCTGTGTCCCCTGTGCCCTCTGGGGACACAGCCAGGACATCTCCGTCCCCGTGACTGCCAGGCTGTTCCTCTGTGAGCCGGGATGTGCCTTTTATCCAGCCCTACACGGAGGGAGGGTCCTGTTTCTCAGCCCTGTGGGAGCTGCCATGGCCAGCCCGCCTCGCTCTGCTCCCAAGGGATGCTGGAGCACAGAGGGCAGGGAGAGCATTGGGCTCCTGGAACCACTTGACCCCAGCTTCTCCTCTGTTCTGGCACGTGGGCCTCTCCCAGTCGATTTTTTAAGAATATTTTTATCAGCTTTTGCCAAAAAAAAAAAGGCTTCTTGTCAACAACACGTCCTTTCTGCCTGAGCCGAGCAGCCAGGGCTGTTTTCCCCCCTGCAGGCCTGACCCAGCCTGTCCCTCCCGTGGTGCCAGGCTGCCCCCACCCCTGTGGTGTGACCCCTTCCTGTCCTGTGGGGCCAGCAGGGACTGTAGGGCCCACCCACCCCAGGGCAGCTTGGGGGAAGCATCACTGGCTGTGCTATTTAGGGCTGGGTTGTCCGTGTTTGGAGGATCTCCCACCAGGACAGGTGCTTCCCAAAAGCCCTTTGCTGTGGCTCTGTGCGTGCCACAGAGCAGCTGAATCCAGGCTTGTCAAACAGGCTTCTAAACCGGGGCAACAGGAAGAGCCTGGGATCCTCGGGCACCTGGCTGGGACTCAGCAAGCTCCTCCTGCAGCCCAGAGCCAGGCAGGGATCTGTGCCCAGCCAGGGCACGGCACAGTCTGCCACAGGGAGAGTAAATCCCCGAACGGGGCTGAGTTTTGCGTTCAGAAATCACTCCGGTTGTCCCAGGCTGGTTTGGAAAGCACTGACACTGGGAAAAGGGAGCCAGCAGGGCTCTGCTGAATTCCATCAGGAGCTGCAGGCTCATGGGTTGGTCTGGCTTCCCCCAGCGCGGTGTGAGTGCCTTGAGGGTCACAGTTTCACGTTCACCGGCTTTATGGGACACTACCAGGGGAGCTGGCACTCCATGGGGCAGCCAGGGTGAGAGCCACACGTAGCCTGGGAACAGCCTGTACCACAGTGGCTCCTTCAGCCAGCCCCTGCCTTGCTAAACCCCACACAGCCCTTTTTCAGGAGCACAGTCTGCTCCTGGACACCCTGGAGCTCGCTGCAGTGGTGCCAGAGTTAACTTCCCTGCAGCCATCTGCTCCAGCTTTCTTTTTTTTTTCCTTTTACCAGACCATAAACTTTGTGTGGTTTCCTTAATGGGAAGAATTTAATATGGCTTCTGGCACTGGATGTGCTTCCTGCTGAAAGTTTGTGCTCTCGGGGTGCTCTGTGTGGGACACTCGGAGTCCCAGCGTGAGCTGGAGCCACTCACAGCTGGAAAAATGGGATGGAGTCAAGCAAAACCACAAAAAACCCTTCAGATTTTGAGCTTTCTCCCCATGGGGAGCAGAGGGGGATGAATGCACTTGCTTTGCAGTGAGGTGGCATAATTTGGGAGCCTCCTGATGCCTCTCAGAGGCTCTGTGTGCTCTGCACAGCCCAATGTGGCTCCCCTGCAGTCTGGCTGTGACACTGTGAGCAGCACTGAAGGTGAGGAAGAACCCAAACTCTATCTGCCAGGAGCTTCCCACAGAGTTGCTTAGTTAGGGCTGGCTCCTCTCTGTCTCCAAAGGGAACTGTCATGGTTTCCCCACTGGGATCCCTGTCCCTGCAGTGGCGCTGTCCCTGGCCGGCTGTGAGCAGGGACAGTTGTGTCACAGGCTGAGCTTGGGCTGGCAGGGACACGGCCCAGTGGCCTGACAGAGGCCTGCCTCCTCTTCCTGGGCAGGTGACGACAGACTGGGACCTGCAGAAGGGCACGGGCTGCACGGAGGGTCACACGGGGACGTCGGCTGCCGCTCCCCTGGCCGCGGGAATGATCGCGCTGATGCTGCAGGTGCGGCCGTGCCTCACCTGGCGCGACGTGCAGCACGTCATCGTCTTCACTGCCACCAAGGTGAGGGGCTGGGCCTCCCCCCTGCCTCCCCCCTTCCCTCTGCTCCCCCCAGGGATGCTGTGGGATGGATGGCCTGCTGTGCACATCCTTGTTTGTGTCTGCTGCCCCTCCATAAATCTCTCCCTGGTCTGGCTCCCGACACGGGGATTGCACTTTCCTCTCACCCCGTGTTCCTTCCAGGAATGTGGCTGAGGCATTTTCCCCTGTCATGATAATAAATGGGTTATTTGCCTCAGGAATTGCCTCCATCTGCCAATGTAGGGGTCTTCCAGGGGCTCAGCAGCTTCCAGGGCTCAGCCCTGTGTGCCTGCGGTGGGGCTGGCCCAGCCCAAGGGCTGCCACCTCTGCAATGTCACCTCATGGTCCAGGCAGTGGGAAAGTGAGGAGCTCTGGCCTTTCCCGGGCTCTCCAGGGAGCTGGGCTCCTGGAAACAGGCACAGCAGAGAGCTGGGCAGCAAACACAGCCCTTCCCTTCACCCAGAGTGGGAACTGACTGGAGGAGTGGGGCTTCTTCCACCCCTCTGGGGAGCAGGAGTCTGTGTCCAGCTGATGCTCTGCTCTCTTTGGCATGGGACAGTGTTTTCCATAACTTCCAAGACAATGTTGCCAGAGCAGTACAACCCAGTACGTGATGGGACCCAGATCTGTCCTGCCCTAGCTCTTGGTGATTTAAAGGACTCTGTTCCTTCTCTCTGAGGCTTCTGCCATGCCACAGGCAGTGGTTTGGGCAGCAGGGAGCAGCTGGGATGTTTCAGAGCAGAGGCATTTGTGCCCTTTCGTGCTGCTCCATTTCCTTTCTGAGGAGCTGGGAAGCCACTTTGTCCTGGGATTTGTTTCAAACAAAGGTCAACCTGTTCCTTTCTAATAAGGCCATGTGGGTTTGCTTCCCCACCACTGTGGGATGTGTCTGGGCCTCCTTCCCTCGAAGCCTGGGCAGGTCAGGCTGCTGCTGTCCCCCCAGGTCAGCGGAGCACCCCGTGTGTCTTTGCAGTACGAGGACCGGCACGCCAAGTGGGACACGAACCAGGCGGGCTTCAGCCACAGCCACCAGCATGGCTTCGGCCTGCTCAACGCCTGGAGGCTGGTGAACGCTGCCAAGGTAATTCCCTGCCCTCCCACAGCTGTCCCTGGGCAGGCAGAGCAGCCCAGCCCCGTGGCAGGGACAAGTCCTGTCCTGGTGATGCTGTGGGGTGACACTGCCGCCATTCAGGGCCAGCACTTTGGCCACCATCCTGCTGGCCCTGGCTCTGAGGCTGCTTTTGGTATGAGGTCATGAGGCTCCCAGCAGTGCCTGAAAGCTGTCCCGAGCTGCTGCTCTCCAGCACTATATATAGCCATGGCGAGGGCCCTGATTCACACCACAGGAGCTTGGCCAGCAGCACCTTCCTCCCTCCACAGTGGCTGCAGGGAGGGTGTCCTGCCCCGGGAAGCAGGCTGTTCTCAGCTGGCAGCTCCAGGGGAGGGCTGTGCTCACAGCAGGCAGAGGCATCCCCATCTCTTCCTCCTCTGGTCACACGGAGCCCAGGGCACATCCCTTTGGCGCTGGGTCCCAGCTCGTGTGTGCAGCTGTGCCGGGTCACTGCCGCTGCCAGCCGTGCCCCCGGGGTCACAGGGACTTCCAGGCTGCTCCTCTTCCTGCAGGCAGTTGTGTTCTGCTGTTCCCTGTCCCGCTGTACCGGGGCCTGGAGTGGAACGGCCTCAAGACACCACTCAAAGCCGCTGTGACAAACCCAGAGCTGGAGAGTCCCAGACCCTGATCAGCCCTTCTGGCTCCCAGTCAGTGACTTTCGCTCCTTTCCTGGGCTTGTGGGCCCTGCTCCCATTCCTGGGGTGTCACAGCAGCCCGTGTTTCCCAGAGCATCATCAGGAGAGGCCCCTTGGCCTGGGCCCACATCCAGCACAGGAGCAGCTTGTGAGAGCTGTGGGAGATGGAGGGATGGATGTGCAGGGAGGGTGCAATCCATGCTGAGCCCTCTCTCCTTCCCCTGGCAGATCTGGGAGTCCGTGCCCTACCTGGCCTCGTACGTGAGCCCCGTGCTGAAGGAGGGCAGGAGCATCCCTGTGCTGCCGCAGGAGCTGGAGGTGGCCTGGAACGGTAAGAGCAGGTGTGCCACGGAGAGCAGAGCCAGCCCTGCCCGTGGGGCACGCAGGGCAGGACCAGCCCTGGGCTGCAGGAGGCCAGGAAGGGGTTAAGTGCTGGGCTGCCTGGGCTTTTTCCGCTGCCCATCCCCAGGGGATCTGCCTGCTGCTGCATCCCCTCCCCACAGCCCTGTCCCCTGTCCTGGTGTGTTTGGGGAGCCAGGCCGGGCTCAGGAGCAGGGCTGGGCAGCGGCCAGAGCTGTGCTGGCTTTGACCATTTTAGGTAATGCTGCAGCTCCCGACTTGGCCAGGCCTGTCCGGAACAGCAGCTCCGCTGCTACCAGCGGGAAGGAGAGCTCGGCCCCAGCCCTTCCCGGCCCCCCAGCAGGGCCTGCACGGGGGGACACTGCTGGCTCTGTGAGTGCCTGTCCTGCCATGCGCCCACGTCCCCCTAGCAGGGGCTGGGAGCACCCACCCACCCTCAGAGGGGCTGTGGTCAGCAGCTCTGGGGCCGTGAGCGTTCCTGGAGCTGGGAACAGTTTGGGATGGGGTGGGCCAGCCTGGACACCTGGCTTCTGCTCCCGGTCCCACACAGGGCAGACGAGGCAGAGACAATGTGTGCTCCCGTTAAGTGGCACCGCAGCCCAGCGGGGCTGGCTGGGAGCGGGGACTCCATCCCAAAGCCCCCAGCCTTGAGCAGCCCCCCTTCCCTTTCCCAGTCACCCCTGCTGACCTGGAGCTGTCGGGGATGAGGACCCTGGAGCACGTGGCTGTCACTGTGACCATAACCCACCCTCGCCGTGGCAACCTGGAGATCCGGCTCTTCTGCCCCAGCGGGATGATGTCCCTGATCGGGACCACCCGGAGCATGGACTCGTAAGCACCGAGGGCACTGGGGCCACGGCCAGCCTGGTGGCTCAGGCTCTGAGAGCCCTCATGGGTTGTTTCCCCTCACCCCTTGGCAGGGACCCCAATGGCTTCTCCGACTGGACCTTCTCCACGGTGCGGTGCTGGGGTGAGGAGGCACAGGGCAGCTACAGGCTGCTCATCAGGGACATCGGTGAGTCTTGCCCTCAGCAGCGCTGCAGCCCTGTGCCACGTGCCGGGGAGCTGCCAGCTCATGGCCAGGTTGGCTCAGAGAGTTCCCCACCACACCAACCTGCCTCCTCCCCAGGAGATGAGAGCCTGAGGCCCGGCACCTTGAGGCAGTGGCAGCTGACCCTGTACGGCTCCTCCTGGTCCCCAGCAGAGATGAAGGAGCGGCAGAGGTAGGACACCACGTTCCCAGCTTGGTGGGAGCCAGGAGAGGGAGCTGAGGGGTTGGAACTGTGTTGGGCGTGTGGCAGGTGAGGCCGGGGCTGCCCTCACACCTCACAGGGCAGCCATGGGCTGCAGAACACAGCTCTGTGTGCTGAAGGAGACGCTCCAGACCCTTTGTGGGCATTTTGGATCCTCCCTGGAGCCCCGCTGCCCATGGGACCCTCACGGGGTGTGTCTGTCCCCAGGCTGCTGGAGGAGGCCATGAGTGGGCAGTACCTGAGCGGTGACTTCTCCCTGCCCTGTCCCCCAGGGCTGGACATCCCCGAGGAGCAGCGTTACACCATCACAGCCAACACCCTCAAGGTGAGCCTGGGAACCCTGCACCCCCAGGATGGGCTGGAAGAGCAGGACCCTGCTCAGTACTCTGTGCCCTCTCTGCTGGGCAGTGGGCAGGGCCTGAGGTGGTTGAGAGCTGTGTTTTTCAAGGGGTTTCCCTCTGCAGACCCTCCTGCTCTTGGGATGCTTTGCCGTGTTCTGGACTTTCTACTACATGCTGGAGGTTTGCCTGACGAGGAACGAGGTGGGGCTGGACCTGGCGTGCTCCAGCCCCACCAGCTGCAGGTGGTACCAGCAGGGCAGCAAGCACCGAGCCCTGGAGAGCGGCCTGGAGATGGAGTCGGTGCCGCTGTACCGGGAGAAGGACGTGGAGGAGGCCGAGATGGAGTGTGAGCACCTGGAGCCTGCCCAGGATGGGGAGGAGGGGTCCTGGACCCCCACCCACCCCAAACTTTCCAGCAATGGCAGAGCTGTGAGCTTCCATGAGGCAACCCCCGCTGGAACGGGATTCCTGGGCCGGGAGGCATCGACTGAACTCCTGGGGGAGGACAGGGAGCACCAGCCCTGCTGACTGGGGCTGGGGCTGGGCTGGGGCCCTCCCTTGGTACGACCTTCCCGGGCTCGGGCAGCACAGACTCGTTCCTGAGCCTCCATGGATCCACTGTGACCTGCGGGAGGTGGTGCTGGACGTGGCTCAGGAACAAGGACAGAGTGCCGGTACTGGAAAGGGAGCTTCCCTTCCCTCCTTCTGGAAAACAAAGCAAGCCTTAAACCCTTTCCTGGTGGAGCCTGCCCTGCCGGACGCTCGGGGCTCCCCGTGGTGTGTGCAGTGCCATTCCTGCGCTGCAGCAGGGCCAAGACAAAGTGTCACTTGGTCCCTGATTTCTGCAGAGCGAGCCTGGAAAGTGAGACAAGGCCCCAGCAGCCACCTCTGCAGGCAGGGACCCCGCAGCACTGGTGTTTTCCCCGGCTGGCAGCCGGCCCCTACCCACCAGTTATCCCAGTTTAGAAGCAGGGAGTTACTTCACTCATCTCCAACCAGCGCTTCTCCCTGCCCCCCCGTGCTGTGATCCTGCTGATTCCTCCTCTCCTGTGGGCACAGAGCAGCTGTGGGGTGGGGGAGGCAGGGACCAACCTGTTTGGGGGCAGCATGGGGCTGTCCCTGTGTCACTGGGCACGCTCTGGTAGCAGGTAGGCCTGGTGTGGGCTGGGCAGGGGAGGTTCAGTTGCCCTGGCAGTGGCTCGTCTGAGCAGGGTTGGCTTGTTCACATGGCTTTGGGTTCCGTGGTTTATTTTTTTAACGCCGGGGTTTGTTTTTTTAATCAGCAAAGCCCTTTTGTGTAGCTTTCCAAATAAAGCCTGAAAAACCCTCCTCTCCCCCATCCGTCACTCTTCTGCCCTCCCAGAGCTCCCTCACTGTGGAAAGATGTGTCACACAGGGGCTGGGGGACTGCGACTGTGGGGGCTGTGTGCCCTCTGTGCCCTGGGGTAAAGGGGGATGCTCCAGGCAGGGGGAGGGAAGGGCTGGGCCAGAGCATTGGAAGGAGCAGGGACAAAAGTGGGTGTCATGGTTCAGGGGGAAGAGGGCAGAGTTTTCCAAGCCAGGCAGGGAAAATCCAAGCTCCAGCTTTGGTTTTCCCAGGTTTGGAGCTGGCAGAAGAAAGAGCTTTAGCCTTTTAGGGAGTAGGACTTTGGCTTTCCAGGTGCCATCGGCCAGCTGCAACAGGGCAGGCAGGAGGAAACCTCGTCAGGCCACGCTAGATGAATATAACCTTTTAATTTTGACAAAAACGAAGTACAAAACCGAGGCCAATTCTCTCTTCTCCCCGTTGGCAGGGATCTCTGCGGCAGTGAGGCAGGACCGGCGGGGCAGGACCGGCTGGCAGCAGGGGTGCGAGGCCGGGGGACAGGGCATGTCTGGGGACAGGGGCTGTCAGGGGGACAGGGGGTGTCCAGGGACAGGGGTTGTCAGGGGACAGGGGATGTCTGGGGGGACAGGAGATGTCCGGGGACAGGGGCTGTCAGGGGGACAGGGGGTGTCCAGGGACAGGGGTTGTCAGGGGACAGGGGATGTCTGGGGGGACAGGAGATGTCCGGGGACAGGGGCTGTCAGGGGGATAGGGGCTGTCCAAGAACAGGGGCTGTCCAAGGACAGGGGCTGTCCAAGGACAGGGGCTTTGCAAGGACAGGGGCTGTCCGGGGAACAGAGGCTGTCCGGGGAACAGAGGCTGTCCGGGGAACAGAGGCTGTCCGGAGCACGGCGCTGGGGGCTGCAGCCGCTGGCGGGGCGATGGGGCTGGCGGGCGGATGCTCCTCAATAAATACCAATGGATTGGCGGCGGCGCTGGGCCGGGGGGAGCGGAGACGGAGGTCCCGGAGGGCTGGGGGCGGCGGGGCCGTGCCTAGCTGATGATCTGCCGGGGCCGGCCGTAGCTCATCCCCGCCTGTGACGCTCCCTTGTTGGTGCCCATCTGTAGCCCGATGATGTTCTTGCCCTCCTTCAGCTGGCTCTCGGTGAACTCCCGCTTGTGCTCCTGCGCTTTCCTGCGGGGCACAGCGAGAGGCCGTGGGGCACCCGCACCCCGGGCTGCCCAGGAGTCCCACCCCGATCCCCAGGAATGCCCCAGCCACCCTCCCTCCCCAGCTGAAAGTTTGGCATCCCGATTCCATGTGCTCCGGGACGCTTCCAGGCAGAGGAAAGAGCCAGCTCTGAGCAGCCGCAGGACGAGGGAGCCCCCATGCCCAGCTCTGCACTCCCGCACTTACTTCATGAACCAGTTGGGATCCCCGTGGTAGTTCCCGTCGTTCTTGGTGACTGCCAGGCTCCCCAGGGCCATCAGCGTCCTCTGCACCGCTGCCATGTCCTTGGCTGCCCGGGGAGAGAGTGGCACGGTGAGGACGAGCACAGCAACCCTGGGACCCCCAACCCCGACTGCCCCCCTCCTGCACCTTCAAACAGGTCCACGGTCTGGAATATGTCTGTCTTGACCACACCGTAGTCCTCGGCCGCCTTCAGGAACTGGGCAATCTGCTCCATCTGCTTGAACACCATGGTGGGTGGCGCGTCGGGGATCTTGACGGGCTTGGAGCCATCGGGGTAGAGGCTGTTCACCAGCCTGCTGAGCACCTGCCACAGAGGGGAGCCTGGGTTTGCTGCACTGCCCTCGGAGCTCCCTGCACTGCCCTCGGAGCTCCCCGTGTTGCCCAACCCCGGGGCCCCACTTACGATGCCGTTCTTCAGCCAGACCTGGAAGCCCAGGCGGCCCCGCTCGGGACGTCCCACGGCGGCCCCACACTGCGCCACGATCCATTCCACCAGCCTGTCCTCCAGCTCATCATCGTACTTCTTCTCGATCTTGGACTGCACATCCCTGCTCATGCCATAGGCTGGCCCCTTGTTTGCCATGGCTGCGGTGCTGCGAGACCTGCTGGCCGACAGGGACAGTCAGGCTGTGGAGATGCTGTCTCCTATCCAGGGACCCCACAGACACCATTGTGTCATTTCCCTGCCACTCTGCTGCAGTGGGGACAAGCCCTTCTGACTCTTCCCTCTCCAGGTAACAGCCCTTCATCTCCATCCAGATCTGTTTGGAGGAAAATTCACCACCGTGACCTCCAAAATCTGCCCAGACAGTCAGTTCGTGTCCTGGCAGAGGTGCCTGATCCCCAGCTCAGACTGTGCACGGGAGCAGCTTCATCCTTGTCCCTTGCCAGCTCCTGGTTGGCACGGATGTCCCCGGTGTGAGCCATGCCAGGACCCAGGTTGCAGGGTGACGTTCAGGCTGGCTGGCCACAGTCCGGTTTGGTGGCCATGGCACAGCAGGGTGCCCGCGGGGTGGCCTTGGCACGGCAGCTCCGGGAGCCGGGGAGGAGCGCGGGTGAGACGGGAGCAGTGGGAGCCGTGCCCGTGCCCTTGTAAGGACATGCTGCGGGCAGTGATGGCTGGTAGCCGGCTGCAGGCAGGGCCCGAGGGTGCCAGGGAAGATGCCAGCAGGGAGAGACCCTGGGAGTGGCAGCCAAGCCTTTGGTGGAGCTGGCATCGCACCTCCCTGCCTGGCTCCTTGCTTGGCATGGAGCCTCCGGGTGCCTCCAGGAGCCGTGTGGATGTCCCACATTCCCACCCGGCCTCCAGCGGGCTCATCCTGACCGCTGGGCACCCTGGCTCCTGCGGGGTGGGCTGAGACATGGCACAGCAGGAGACGACACCGAGCCCGCTCACTGCCACCAATGCAGGGGTGCCCCACGAGCCCCGTGATTAACGTGGTGATACCCCACGAGCCCTACGGGCAGCCTGTGCCCAGACCCCGAGCACTGCTGGGCACATCCAGTGATGCTACAGACAACACAGCCAACCCCGCTCCGTGTCCCGGCCCGACCTGGCACGGAGGGGTCACACACGGCTCCCTCGGCCACGTGGCATTGCCACCAGCTGTCCCCGAGCCCCCCACCCCGTGTCCATCTCCCGGGGGGCAGAAACGGGCACTGGGGCTGGAGCTGCCCCTCCATCGCCGCTCCGAGCCCCGCACGGCCCCTCCGGCTCCCGCGGGGACCCGCAGCTGCTCAGCCCCGCCGGGAACGCGCTCCTGAGGGGCAGGAGCAGCACAGAGACCCGGCAGTGACCCCAGCCCGCCCAGGGGAGCCTGACCCTCCTCCGGGGAGCAGCGGTGCTGTCCGAGCAGCGGCATCCCCGTCCCGGGGAGCCGCGTTCCGCCCGGAATCCGCGGCGTGCAGGGAGCAGCAGATCGCAGTCCCGGCAGCGGCTTCGCCATCCCAGGTCCGGCGTCCCCATCCCGGGGAGCAGCATCCCCGTGCCGGAGGCTGGCGTTCCCACCCGGGGCACCCTCCCCGCCGCCCCCCCCCCGCGGCAGGACTTACAAGCGGCTGCGGACGGAGCGAGGGTGATGCTCGGCGAGGGACCAGCGCACTGCCCCGCGGGGACCCCGACCTTGTGCTAAAAGGCGGCCGGCGGGACGGTGATGTCAGCGGGGCGCGGAGCCCGGCCCCCCCCAAACCCTCCCTCCCGGGGCGCCCGGCCCCGCAGCGCTCCATGACTCCATCCCAGGCACCATATTTGGGGAAAGACTCCGAAAACCAGCGACGAAAGCCCGTGCTCGAGCATTCCCCGCGTGCCTCCGCCCCAGCGGGGACGGGGCCAGGGCGGAACCGGGCCGGGGGCTGATGGAGTAAATCCTTTTATAGCCAGGCGGCAGCGCCGAGGGCTCCTGCCCCGACTTCACGGCTGGTTTTCCCGTGCGCTCACCGCCGGGAGCCGGCCCGGCCGCGCAGGGTGTCCCCGCGGGGATGCTGCGGGGGCCGGCAGCGAGGCTGCGGCATCCCGAAGATCCCGGGATTCCCTCTGCCCCGCGGGCACCAGCTGGAGCGGGGCACGCAGCAGCCCTGGCACCGCCCTGCGAGGATGCCACAGAGGGCCCCAGCCCTCAGGGAACTTTGCTGCCCGTGAAGAGGGACCCCCCCTGGTCATCCCTTACCCACCCGTGGGGCTGCCAGTCCTCCCATGACCCACGGGCCATCCTCATCCTCCCCACACGTGCTCTCCGGGGCAGCATTTCCCAGCCCCTGTGGCATCTCCCCTCTCCCAAAACCCCGCGGTGCCACAGCAGGGCCTGGCTAACACCGCGTGGCCGTCGCCCCGTGGAACCCCTGGCAGGCGGCAGCAGGCACGGGCAAAGTGCAGACACTTTAATGCGAGTCCCTTCCCAGCAGATCCACGCGTGGGGAGCGCGGCACCTCGATGGGGAGCGGCCACGGGGGCCCTCTGCGGCCACCCCCCTCCCGGGACGCTGGAGGAGACAGGAGTGGGGCCTCTCCGGCCACTGCCCCCACCGTGCTGGCCCCACACACCCCCCACCTCCCACCCACTCGACTCAGGCACTGAAGAGAGACCCACACCCACGTGCTCGGGGGGCCACGGGGCTGCTGGCACGGCGCTCGCCCCAATCCCCCCACTGTGCCCAGGGGCACACGGACACGGAGCAACAGCAGCACCTTTTCCAGTGTCACTTGCCACCGAGGACGGATGCTCCGGTGGCCCCCCAGCCCCATTTTTGGCTGTGACGGGCCCAGGGATGGGCACAAAGTGCCTGGAAGGACCCGGCTGATGGGGAGGAGGCAAACCAGGACCCCTGGGCTGTGTGGGGAGGGGGACGGAGTGGCTGGCAGGAACTGCAGCGCAGACATCCCTCCCCAGGGGTGGGTCCCCCTCCCGGGGCTGCAGCCGGGTGTTTGGCACAGTCCCAGGGCAGCGGGTGGCTGCAGGCTCCTAGAAGACGTAGATCTTGTCCCGCTGGACACAGTCCAGGTCATCATCCAGCGTCAGCAGCACCTGTGGAGCGAGGGGAGTGAGGGGAGCAGAGCACTGGGAGCTGGAGAACCGGGGACAGCGGCTGCTGTGCCAGGGAACCAGCCCCTACCAGGAAGGAGCCGAACATGGCGATGGAGGAGAGGAAATGCCAGATGTCGTGGTCGTCGAAGAAGTCGAGCAGGATGCAGTCACGGTTGTGCTCCCGGGATTCAGCTGGCGTTTTCTGCCAGGCACAGAGCCAGCGTCACTGCCTGCCCATGGCCACCCTGCCCACCTCGCTGCCTGTGCCACCCTCCTGCTCACCTGCCAGGTGCTGAGCCCCTGGAAGAAGAAGAAGAGGGCAAAGCCCCAGACCACGGAGGTGCTGATGATGCAGAGCAGCGGGATGAGCTTGATGCGCTCGCCACTGCGGAGCTGTGGGAGAGGCTGGGGTCACTCTGTGGGCAGGAGCTGGCAGCAGTGCCCATCCCTGCCTTGCCCTGCTCTCCCTGCTGGGCTCATGGGGGCCCAGGGCTCGACTCCCACCTTCATGATAATGTAGAAGGCGAAGTAGAGGAGGAGGTTGCAGATGCCGATGGCCAGCAGGTAGGAAGCAAAATCATTGGGGCGGACAATGAGGCCGTAGGCAGCGCTGGGGAGGCAGGGACAGGCAGTGGGGTCAGCCTGGGGGTCCCCCTGCCATGCCTGCTGTCCCCAAAGCATGTCTGCAGCCCGCAGGAGATCAGGCAGCACGTGGGGACTCCGGGGTGCCACAGCTGCAGAGGGACCTGTTGTGATGGGCTGACAGCTGCCATGAGCTGCCTGTCCTCGGCCCAGCCCCACGGAGGGACAGCAGTGCCGCAGGAGCGGGGTGGGGGCAGCAGCAGGGCTGGGGAGAAGCAGGATGGGGTCTGGCACGTGCCCAGCTCTGCACTCACAGTGACCAGTTGATGATGTTCCCCATGACCAGGAGCACCATTCGGTCCTGCAGAAGAGGAGGGGGCTGTGAGGGGCTGCAGGTAGCTGCTCTGGGGGGCTGCCAGGGAAGGTCTCCACAGAGCCAGGGGCCCCGGTGCCAGCACTCACCACATACATGGGCCCGCTGCACTGCCGGACGCAGTCCGTGTACAGCACGTGCAGGATCCTGCGCAGGATGCCAGAGTCTGTGGGGAGAGGGGAGGTGACACCACGGGGCCACCACATTGTCCCCACCCACCTCGCTCACGGAGCCCCCCCTCACCCAGCTTCCAGCGCCCCATGTAGTACAGCTGGGTGCTCAGCAGCAGCGTGGCCACGATGTGGATGACGGAGAAGACGATCCAGAAAGCCGTGTTCCCCTTCCCAAACACCTGCAGGGAGAGCGGGGTCGGGCAGTGGGCTGTGGGGACAACCAGCCCCCCTCCCTCGGTGCCCATGGTACTCACCACGCCCACCACAGAGAAGAAGATGACGAGGGCCAGGCAGGCGTAGGCGCTGTAGGCGCTGGCGTTGATGTCCGGGTGACGCTTCTGGTAGAGCTTGAGCATGCAGAGCCCCGCGATCATGTACATGAAGGAGGTGTCTGGGGGGGCACAGCGGTGAGAGGGCTGTGGGTGGCCCCAGTGTGGGTGGGGGGAGCCCAGGGGGGCACTCACCGAACTGGAAGTTGGTGTAGTTGGGGCAGACGTGGTAGCAGGCGCTGAGCAGCCCCTCCATCATGAGGGCGGTGCCCATGGCGTAGAAGAGCCCAAAGTGCTTGGGGATGCCACACTCCTGAGGGGCAGAGGAGAGGGAGGGAGGGGAAGTGGGGGATCCCGGGGGGCTGAGCCCTGCCAGGCAGCCCGAGCCCCCCCAGACAGCCCCGTCCCTTACCAGGGCATGGGTGTCATTGCGCAGGAGCGCGCGGTTGTAGTTGATCTCGCGCTGCAGGATGATCAGCAGGAAGAGAAGACCCAGCAGGACGTAGCCCAGGTTGCTGAGGATGTTGTTGAAGGCGCTGCGAGGGGCCAGTCCCACTGTGGGTGCTGTGGAACTCCCTCCCTCCCCGGGGTCCTGCTGCAGCCCAGCCCTGAGCACAGGGGACCCCCGGGCACCCTCCACCGTCCCCCCAACACACCTGAGGTTCCCCAGGGGGTGGGCGCACAAGAAGTTGTAGTAGCAGATGTCCTGGTTGCCAGTGACGTTCACCACCTGCGGGCACGAGCAGGGTGAGGGACACAGGGGGCTCCCAGGGATGTCCCCATCATGCTGGGGAGCACGGTTTGGGACTACAGACCCCAGAGCTCCTAGGAGCCCCTCACTGCTGCCCTGGCCACACTCACCGTCTGGTAGGTGATGACGAGCTGGATGACGGGGAGGGCGTAGAAGACAGCGATGGTGGCGATGTTCCTGGGAGAGGGTGGGGCTGTCAGGGGGTCCCTGCTGTGCGCCCCAGGCTGGGACACTGTTTGGTGCCCCCTCCCCACTGCCTCCCACTCACCAGAAATAAATCTGGTACTTCTTCCGCAGCACCCGCTTGTCCTTGCGCGCCAGGTCGGCCACGCACAGGTATTGCTGGAAGGAGAGGGGGGTCAGGGCCTTGCCTGGCCGGCAGGGAGCAGCTGGCAGGGCTGGGGGGGACACGCACCTTGGTGCGGATGACATTCTTGTCGTAGTCGATGTCGGCCAGCGTGTCGTAGTCATCCTCCTCAACAGAGCTGAGCGAGTCCAGGCGTGGCCGGCTGGCCACGTTCTCCAGTGACCGCTCCCCTGCGGCCGAGCCGGGGCCGTCAGCAGAGCCCCTGGGCCAGCCCGCCTTGGTGCCCAACCCGCAGAACCCCAATCACCCCCAATTAACCACTGAGCTGCCTCCCTGCCAACTCACACTGGGGACAGGCTTCAGCTCCCTACAGCCCTGCCCTGGGGACAGGTGGTGGCTGTGCCCACGCGGGCAAGCATTGCCCCGTGCCTGTTCCCCAGGGCTCTGCCAGCTGGGGAACACCGAGGGCCAGGTGGACAATGTCCTGCTCTGCACCCCTCAGGTGCTGCCCTTGCTCTGAGGGAGGAGAGCGGAGGTTCTGTGCCCTGGGCACAGCCTGGGGCTGGGCAGATTTTGCCCTGATTGGCCCAACCCTGCCCGGTACCAGCATCTACCCATGGCAATGCTCAGCGGCCTCGTCGGGGCGGAGGGCGTGCGCCGCTTGAACTGCTCCTGCCCTTCAAAGGAAAGCCAGAGTTACTGGAGCAGAGCTCCCTGAGGTGTGTCACTGCTGGAGACCCCACTGGGGGCTGCACCGAGGGGCCGGCAGCCCCAGGACCCTTCCCGGAGATGGAGGGGGCAGAGCCAGGATGCCACCGGGCAGGAGGCTCCGCAGGGCTGCGGCCACACCAGCGGCCCAACAACTCACCCACATAACTGTAGGAGACTTCTGCTGAGCCCAGGCTGTCTGTGATGCCCTCGGTGCTGCTGGAGGAACCGTTCCCTGCACGGACAAGGACAGGGAGAGGGTGGGCCCAGCCCATGGGGAAGGGGTGAGGGACAGGGGACAGTGTGTGGCACTGACCGAAGGAGCCGTAGCCGTAGCTGTCGTAGGGGCCATGGTTCAGGAAGGAGCTGGGGATGCTGCGGGAGTGACCTGCGGGACAGGAGGGTCCCTGTCACCCTCAGTGATACCCCTGTCCCAGGGCTGCACGGCCACTGGGCACAAAGCAGCTCCCACCACCCCTGCCCTGGCACTGGGCGAGCTCAGAGCCAAGGACAGAGCTGGCACCTACCCAGGAGCGATGCTGGGAGTCCCCGGAAAGCCACGAGAAGAAAGAGACAGGCCTGGTGAGATGCAAAGCCCCAGCACAGCCCAGCCAGCCCCACAGCAGAGAAGTCTGGGACCTCCCTGTCCCCCCGACACTGGGATTTATCCCCAGGAACTCAGGGGGATACTCCTGCAGAGGCAGAGGCTTTGCCACAGGCTCAAAGAGGGCAGAATAAAGAGGAATTCCCCAGGCAGACCCCTCCATGGTGCTGCCTCCAGCCCTCACCTGTGTCCAGGCTGGGTGAATCCATGGCTGCCAGGAGCCCCTTCTTCTTGTGCTGCCTGCCGAGGGAAGCAGCTGTCAGCCCGTCTGTGCCCCTGCTGGGGTGAGGGGACACAGCCCCAGGGCCCCCACCAGGACTGTGCCCATGGGCTCAGCACCCAGAGGTGCTGACACCCGGGCACTCACCGGCAGCTCTCCCAGCAGGCGATGAGCAGCGTGAGGATGTAGAAGGAGAGGAAGATGCCGAGGCAGAAGAGAACACTGCGCACGTAGGCCTCGGCTGTAGAGCCAGGACAGGCCCTCAGCGGAGGTGGCACCTCAGGGGACCTGCCGTGGGTCCCCACAGAGCCCAGCACCCCCAGCACCCCAGCCCCTGCCAGACTCACAGGTTATGGCAGGCGACACCATCACCTCCAGTGTCTTCTGCCGGTTGTGCTGATCCACGGGCTCATCTGGAAGAAGGCAGGGACAGGGCTCAGCTCTCTGCCCTGTCCCCACACACAGCCCACGGTGGCAGCCCCGCTACAAACCTGGAGAGGCATTCTTGGAGAGGGGATAATAGGGCAGAGCCCCCCCGCACACCTCGTCCTCTGTCTTCACCACCACCACCACATAGAAGCTATGGCTGGGGAAATCCTTTTTCTGCAGCAAGAGATGGGGGTCAGCAGAGCCCAGCAGGGGATCTCCCATGCCAGAGGTTATCCCAGGGATATCCTTTGTGGGCTCTGGTAGCCAGCGGTGCTTGGCAGCACCAGGGAGGGAGCAGGAGCAGCTCAGCCCCATGGCACAGCCCCACGGCACAGCCCTGTGCCCACCTGCACCGTGATGGCCGCCTTCTTCGTCATGGTCTGGTACATCCCGATGAAGGCCACGTTGTTGTCCAGGTCGTAGACGGGGCACTGCGGGGGCAGAGGGGCCGTCAGCCCTGCCGGGCACCACGGGTCACCCAGAGAGGAGAGCCGCTGCCCAGACCTACCAGGATGTCCTGGATGGAGATGACGGAGCAGGGGAAGGCCATGGCTGAGGTCACCTTCACGATCACCGAATCCACTTCCTTGGGGAACTCGTACTTGAAGTACTGTGGGGAGAAAGGGCCCATTGCTGCCACGGTGGGCACGCTCCCCTCCTGGGTGCAGAGCCCTCCCGTGCCACGCCGTGCTAGCTGCCCTCACCTGCGGCTGGGCGGCCGTGGCATTGAAGCTGAACCTTTCGTTGGTCCTGCAGAGAGCACAGGAAAGGTGATGGGTGCTGAGGGGAGCCCACAGCCCCCGCAGCCCCACAGGCAGCAGGCAGGGAAGGGGACAAGGGCGCGGGGCTCCCCTCACCGCAGCACAAAGTTCTCCACGCGGGTGACCCGCAGCTGGTAGGAAGTGTTGAGGGAGAGCGTGGAGACATCCACGTAGAAGTGCTGGGTCTCCACCTCGGCCTTGGTCTGCGGCTGGCAGAGCGTGCGGCTCACCTCCTGGTACGCGTATTTCCGCTGGTACCTGGGCAGGGAGAGCCGTGTGTGCCCGCCCGACCCCTGCACGGGACATCCCAGCCCGGGGAACTCCTGCACGGGGAATCCCTGCCCGTCCCGCTGCTACTCACAGGCCCCGGAGGATGAGCGGCACCTGGAAGGAGACCACCGCCTCCTTCTGCCTCACCACGAAGAGCACGGGCTGGTCCTTGTGGTCCGAGAGGACATTGACGGACACCCGCACGCCCTCGGTCTGCGGGGACAGGGCCAGGTGAGGTGTTGGCCGGGCAGGTCGGGCTCGAAGCGAAGGCTGGACTTTGCTCGGCCGCCGTGGCAGAAGCTGCCGTGCCCCGCACACCCCGCACCGCCCGCACCCCTGCGGACACTCAACCCGCGGGGGACGTGGCGGGGTGACCACCCCGGCTCACCCTGTTCCTCCGGACGCTGTGGTTGAAGGCGTAGATGTTGAGCAGGTTGGCGTCCACCCAGTCGATGTAGGTGGTGTTGAACTGCGCTTCCTTCTCCTGCACCTTGCGGTCCCCGTGGGGCAGGGGCTGGGGCCGGACGGGCGGCGGGGACAGCAGTGTCCCGGCCAGCAGCGCCCAGGCCAGCACGGCCGCGCCGGCTCCCGACATCCCGCCAGCATCCCCGGCCAAGGTCCGCGGGGCGGGACGGCACGGACGGGACGGGAAGGGACGGGAAGGGACGGACGGGGCGCTCAGCCGGGGCGCGCCCGGGCGCGCTGCCCCATGGCCGGGCCGCTGCGGTACCGGGGGCGGTGCGGGCGCTGCTGGCGGGGCGCGGAGCCGCTCCCGGTGCCGCTCCCGGTGCCGCTCCCGGTCCCGGTTCCTTCTCCCCTTCCCGTTCCGCACCGCGGTAAACACGGACCGGCGGTGACGTCAGGCCCGTCGCACGCTGAGTGCCCGGCCGGGGAAGTGACGCGGCGGGCGGGGCGGGGGGACCGGCCCGAGCACCGGGGGGACCGGCCCGAGCACCGGGGACCGGCCCGAGCCCCGGGGGGACCGGCCCGAGCACCGGGGACCGACCCGAGCACCGGGGACCGACCCGAACCGGGGGAACCGGCCCGGCCATGGGGCAGCGTGCCCCGGCTGAGCGCCCCGTGGGGAAGCCCGGCTGCGTAGGGAAGCACACACACAGGGATGCCCTGTCCTACAGGGGTGCCCCTGTCCCATATAAGAACCCATGAGGGAGCCCTGCTCCGTATGGGCGCCATAGGGGAAGCCCTGGTCTATAGGGGAGCCGCATGCCCTTGTAGGACCCCGGCTCCAAAGGGGAGTCCCTGATCCATCCGGGATCCTGTACAGGAAGCCCAGTTCCCTGAGGAACCTCACAGAAAATGCTCTGGTCTGTAGGGCAGATCTGCCCTATACAGAACGCTGTAGGGGAGCCTTGTCCAGTATAGCACCCCATAGGGGAGCCCCTGCTCCTTAGGTCACCCCACATGGACGCCCTGCCCCAACAGGGAAGCCCCGGTGCCGTGCAGCACTGCAGACACCCACCCAAACCCCTTGCCCAGCCTGCCCGCCCCCGAAGCCCATGAGGACATGGAAGAATCCCGTCAGGGAAGGAAGGGGTGGGTCTGCCCCATCCCTTTCTCCTGCTGCTCTCTGGATTCCCACCGGGGTTCCTGCAGCCTCTCCGGTTTGTTGCACCCTTCACCACCAGAGATGGAATAATTCAAAGCAGCTTGGGAGCTTTCCCATGCTTGGGGGAAGTGGGAGTGATGCCACACTGCATTTTTGGTGTGTCTCCCAAAACACCCCCCATCCCAGATGTTGCCAAGCCTCCTGCTTCCAGCTCTGTGGCCTTTATATCACATTTTATTTGTCTGCAATTGGGGGTTTTGATTTAAAATCCCCTCACTCAGAGCCACTTTCCCGGGCTGGCTCTGACATCCAGGACCGCTGCCGCCGGTTTCCTGCGCTGCTCCACGGGACAAACGCCACGACACAAGGCACTGCTGCTATTGTGCACTTTATTTCTCCGGGCCCTCCTGTCCCCGGGGATCCCACAGTTTGGACAGTCTGCCCATTGTTTCCAGGTGCAGGTGGTGGCGCTGGCGGCAGATGGGACAACCCCAGGGACAGACATGCGGGAAGAGAAGCAGAATTCCGGCCGACTCCTCGGCTCTGATGGAACTCGAGTCGCCTCTTGCAGGAAGGCTGTGAGCGGGATTGCGTGGGGATGTGCATTCCCTGCTTGTTCCAGGGCCATTAGAGAGAAATCGCTCGGGAATCGAATACAAGCCGATGTCCTGTCGAGGGCCAAAACAAACCAGTCCCCTTCACCTGCAGCACCGTGCTCACAGGTTTGGGTGCAGCACCCAGATCTGCACGGGGAAAGGAGGAAAAACAGACAAAAACAGCCCCAAATGGAGTGGGGAAAAGCAGGAATTAAACGAGGAGCAAGATCTGGCTGAGCACAACTCCCAGAGCTGGAAAGGACCCACAGTGGGAGGTTTGGCAGCACCTTCCCGGCCCCATGGAGACCTCCAGGAGTGACCGAGACAGGGCAGGAGACATCTGGGCACACACACACACACACAGGCTGCGACACGGTGGGTGAAACATTGACATTTATATCGAAATATGCACTAACAGTGACTTCTACCAGCCGATGCATTTTTGCCAAAGCAGAATCACAATGGTTGTGTCCCGGGGAAGGCTCGGGGCAGTGAGGGGAGGTGCGGGGGCCTCCCCGCTCCTGCCTCACCCTCCCCCGGCACCTCACAAGACTCTGTCATTTCACATCTTTTGTTTGTTTTCCTCTCTGCTGCATAAACACAAAACTCGACACGCTCACTCAGAGGAGGCCACAGCTCCAGCCCAGCCCCGTCCCGAGGGACATCCAGAGCCGGAATTGAAGTTTTCTCACAGGAGGCACTCGGATTTCAGCACTGGGTGAGCAGGAGGCAGAACCTCTCTTGCCCACGATACCTCTCAGGTGAGCAGGGCAGTTTCCTGCCAGGCAGCAACAAGCAGAGCCGAGAGCACTGAACCAGCACAGAGAGTGGCACCTCAGCAAGCCAAGCCTAAGCAGAGCCAGCAGAGCCTCCCCGGTGACGCCGGAGCCTGCCAAATTCCCCGGGCCACTCGGCACCCTGCCCACGGGGCTGGCTCACAGAGCGAAGCCGGAGCTTTACTGCAGAGCACATTCCTGGTTAGCGTCTCTTCAGCCAAATGCAGCAGCAGCAGCAGGGAGGGAAGGAAGCAGGGATGCAGAGATTAAACTAGCACACGGCCTTTTCTCGCAAGCCTGGAGATGGAAAGCTGTCAGGGAGCAAAAATGGGTTTTATCCCAGCTCCCTGAGGGGGCTAGAGATGGGATAAAGCCCTTCCCCAGGAACTTTCCACTGCACTGTACTTTTAAGATTTGATTTTCCACTTGCCCTTCCCCAATATTTCCAGCCAGAAGCCTATGGGAAGCGTGAGCAGTGTTCCCTGAAAGCCTGCCCTGCAAGGCCATGGAGCTCCAGGGAGCAGCACCCCTGGTCTGGATCATGGGGGTAGGATGTGATCCCTTCTCTCCCATGGCACTCTGCAACTCCCTGCATCTGATCCTGGCCAGGGGAACGCTTCACCTTTCCTTCATCTGTGTGTAGATCACATATACTGGAAACAAAAACACACACTATGCATGCAATCCAGGCAGGAATCCTGCTATGATCAAATCTACAGGAGGAGGGGGACGAGGTGGGACGTTAGGGGATTCCTCAACGCTAGGTCAGAGTTACACACCAGCCCTTGGCTACAGCAAAGGGCAGACAGACTATGTACAGTACCTATGGCCTTCAGCAAAGCCACCTGACACCTGAACACCCCTCCCTTGGAGCACGGAGTGAAGCTCTCTGTTCCTCCCAGGTTTACCTGCCTGGAATCCTGCGGGAAGCAAAAACCCAGCGTGGAATCACTGAGCTCCAGCTCCAGCAGGTAAGGCAGGGAGGAACAGACTTGGTTTAAAATAGGTTATTTTCAAGTTATCAATTCATCTAGGGCTCTGCCTCTCAGGTCCAAACCATTTATTTCTGGAAGAGAAGTTCTCAGTTTTAAATGAAAACTTGTTTCACTACAACCAGCCCTCTGAACTACAAACCAAACCAAAACCCCACTGAGCCACAGCCCTTTAGGAGGGCACCTGCCCCTCTGGCTCCCTTGCTAGAGGTGAGGAGCAGTGTCCAGGGCAGAAGAATCTACTTTTTACTCTAAGAGGCTGTAGTTGCTCAAATAAAATGTTTATACAAGTAAACCAGTAGTGATAAGGAAATATACACCTCGAAATCTGTAAAGCTTCAGAGTGATTTAGGCCTTGCAGCCAGGGGCTCTTCATGTGGGTTTGCTTTAGAAAAAAAAGGATGTAACAGTCATATGTAATAAAAAAAATAGAAAAAAAAACTGCAAAGAGCCCGGGCACCTCAGAGGCATGTCTGTCACTTCCAGAGGAGAGAGGAAGTGACTGCAAATTACTGGATCATTAAAATCCTACACTGAGCAACTGCTAAAAGCCAGCAACATCACGGGCAGCAGGAGCAGGGGCCAGCAGCAGCACCCAAATGGGAGCATTCCCAGGACAGCTGTGTGGGAGGAAGGGAAGTGCCCCTGGGAGAGCTGCGTGGGAGGGAAGGTGCCCCTGCTAGCAGGACTGGGGAAACGAGCACGAGACAAGCACTGGGGAGTGTTACACGAGTTCAGGTAACTGTTTGCTTCTTTAAATTTCTGAATTCCAGTTTCGACCTGCTTCAGAAAGGAGTGAGAAAGCAACACGTGTCATTTAACCCCCCCTGGGTAAAACAAACAAACAACAAACAAACAAAAAAAAACCCCAAACAAAAAACCCAAAACCGCCTAAAAGGTGGAACCGAGTTTGGAAAAATGCATCTGTTCTGGCTTTTGCAAGTGGAATGTGATTCTTGTTCCCAGGCAAATACACAGAGCACGATGGCTGCAGCCAGGAACGGTGAGCCAGGAGCGGGCTGTCAGACAGGCTACAAGGGGTCTAGGACAACCACAGGGCAACAAGACATGAGAGGGGCACAGAGTGACAGTCCTGTTCTCGTTTTAAATGAGGAATGGTTTAAAAGTAAAACTCTTCTTCAGCTAATTTCCTCCTGCAATAAAACCAACCCAGCCGGCCCTCGTATGTACAAGACCAGTTAAACGTGAGCCTTCCCCCTCAAAACACTAGGTACGGACATCCGGTATCATTCTACAATGGAAAGTGCTTTAAGAAAGAAGGATTCTGTAGTGCCAGTGACAGAACTGATCTGATGGGCTGGATGATGCTCTCCACGCTGACAGCAGCGACTCAGGCCAGGGCAGCTCGTTTCTCCTCGGGGGTCTCCTCCAGCAGCTGCATGATCAGTTCGTGGAGGGGCTTGCAGACCTTGGCGTAGCCCCCGCCCGTCAGGTGCAGGAAGTCGAACATGTCGTGGTAGGAGATGGTGCCATCCGAGTGCACGAAGCCCACGTCCACGTCCAGCAGCTGCACGTTGGGCAGTTTGGGGAGCGAGGCTTTCAGCAGATGGTTCACCTTGGCGTTCTTCTGCCGCAGCGGGTTTGGCTTCTCTCCACGAGGTAGCAGGCCCTGGCAGGAGAGGGAGCAGGAAAGAGCCTTGTGTGACTCTGATGGCATCAGGAGCCCTGCTTTCCCTTCCAATTCAGGCTGC